AAGTATAACAACAATATCATCATCAGTTTATGTTCGAATAACTCCATCAGGTATAACAGCAAATCTTGTTCAATTGGGAACATCAATGATTACACGTGGCAATCAACAAGATCTTAAACTTGATCCAGGATCATTTTCTGTTAATCCTGATGAATATTCATTTGATGCAACTGTAAATAGATAATTTTTAAATAGTTCTACAACTTTTCTTAATTTTCTAGAAATGGAAATATGAATATTATTGTCGAATTTATGGTTTATATATGTTTCCAAATTTCCAAGGAGCATTATTATCAATAGATGATTCAAGAATTGATCCTTCAAATCCATCATGTTTATCAAATCAAACAGGTAAAATTGATTTTAATGTGTATTCTAATAATTTTGTTATAATATAGGAAATAAAACAGAATTGAAATTTGATGGTGTTGGTTTATTATCAAAATCATCTGTAACAATTCTTGCTGGGTCATTAAAATCCAATCGAACATATCAATTTATGGTTCAAATGGAAAATCTTCGAAATTCTTCAATTCAAGCCACAGGTTATGTACTTGTTACAGTGGTAGATACTCGTCCACAAATGGTTCTTATTGGGTAAATTATTACATTTATATCATTCAATTTTTCACATATCTTCATTTAGTTGTGTTATTTGGACGATGTGTGTTCCAAATTTAGAATTTCAATTTGTTAATCCAACAACACAAGTTGCACTATTTGCTATTTGTAATGGAAATTGTACAACTCTGCAAAATATCATTTGGAATATCTATCAAGGATCATCAAATTCATCTTCAAATGTCACCCAATGGATTTTATATAACCAAATGAATACATATGAAAATATTTGGTTTTTTGGTAGAAATACAAGTAATTTCACTACAACAAATCAATTATTTCTCAATAATCCTCTAATTGGACTTTGGCGATTTGAAGTTGTTTATAACTTTACATTTGAAACAAGTTTAAGTTCATTAAATTTTATTATCAATCAACCTCCTTATAATGGTTCATGTTCAATGAATCCTTCAAATGGTACAACAAGTACTTTATTTACTATTGAATGTCCAAATTGGTTTGATGAAGATGATATTAAAGATTATTCACTATACAGTATGTTAACTTCATTTAATAAAGAAAATAATACTTTTTTTCATTTTAGTTTGGACAACAGATCAAAGAGAACGAATGATGATTGCATTTTCATCAGTATCTACTTTTCAAGTTTACTTACCCGCTGGAATAAGTCATACGATAATGTATATTCGTGATACTCTTGATTGTACCGCAGAATTTAATATGTCATCTATTAATGTCACAACAGATTTTGATACAATTAATGATTTAATCAATAATATACAAAGCTCAACAAACAATCCATTGATAAACATTCTCGTTGGTGGAAATCAAAATTTGGTTGGACAAGTGATTGTTTCCGTATCACAACAGTTTAATCAAATGAATAATGAAAGCATAGACAACGCTGTTTCCAGTAAATATTTAGTATTATTATATTATAAGGATAATCTTTGCTTTTAAGATGGTATTCCAGCTACAAGTATATCTATATCATCCTTAGGAAGTCAATCTTCACAAGAGGTAGTTTTATTTGAGATATTTTTCATGTTGTCATTATTTCTATATATAGATTTCTATTCCGTTGAATGACTCAGCTTTGATCGAATATAAGAAAGGGTTAAATTCTCTTGCAAATGTACGCGATCAACTTATAAAATATCTGGTTGATCTTCAAGTTTTTGATTCAAATAGTCTTAAATTACAATCATTATCCTTAGCACAATTTAGTGGATCAACAAATCAATT